CCAGAACCGATTGGCTCTGATACCATGTTCAAATAGAAGAGATGAACACCTCAATTTTATTTATTCCAACACATATGAAATACAGCAGATGGAATCAGTATATAACCGAAGGAAAGAGGGAAAAATCAAAAACAAACTTAACAAACTATTCTTATTACAAAGAAGGACCTAAACTAATGAAGACGACTAATTAGGTCCCTGAGGAATAATTTGCATAAATTCGGACAGATACAACAGATCTTTTTTTTACAATTGATCAAACTAGCCTGCTATTTTTCATATTACATAACTGAGGCCTAATCTGAGACTATTCAGCAGGCTCGCAGCACTTTTCCTTCAGTTGGGCAGCAGAGACTGGGGATCCTATCACTATGTTTGTCAATTGCGTTGATCGCTTCTATGAGTTGTACCTTCATGCTTTTTTTTTTTTTTGAAGGAATTCCGTTTTAATGTAACATGGAGTGCTTATATACCTGTATGGTGGTATATGTCCTTCAAATAAAGTTACAAGAAACATGTCTTTGTTCTGAGGAACTGTTCTCATCTTACCAGGGTTCACTTGTGTTCGTTCAAAAACATTGAACTGGATTTTCTCAAATACCAGTTCCAAGGCTCAAATTTCATGTACTCTATTAGTTTCTGTTACTTGTATTAATACATTGAAACGAGTTCTCGGTATCGATTTATATTTTTATTAAATGAATCAACTTACTATATATCATTGGCATTACTATTTAAGTGAAATTGATAGTATCAGTTATAATGAGGAAATGAAGCAGTTGGATAAAATTTAGTTATAAAAAAAAGTAAAAGAAAAATGAAATTCTATCAAAACATTGTTTATTATGTTATATAAAATCACAAGAATCTTTATTATAATATACAGACATATTATTCACATATAGAGATGCTTGTATTAAATTTCTCTCAGCAGGATATGTTGGTATATCGAAATTCTAATATTTAAATTTTATGTATGTAGGTGCAGGTTGAAGAGATAAATTCTGTTGCTCAAAATGGTCTAGCCCCAGTTTTGCAAGTAATCGAAGAAATTGGAATCAGGAGGTAGAAAATTTCCTTCTATGGTAACGTACGACAAGTAAAATGCCACTTATATATTGCATAATAACTGTAAAGTAATATAAACATTTTGAGCTTTTAAGGGGAAAAGTGGATCAATTGAAGACATGACTTGGAAATTGGACGTCTTCGATCCAGTTCTACTGTCTAGTGTCTACTAACCTAAAAGATTAGCCTTATAGGAGTAAATAATCATAAATATTTGAGCAATGAGTTTTTGTTTTCATTTCAATATTTCTTTATTCTTTGGTTCTCTCCACCTATCAGCATTTGAACTAGAACTAGAATGTTACAGTTTTCTGTTTATTTAACTTAATGGAAAGGGCAAAAAAATTGCTAATTTAGAATAGTATTTCTGGATATTGTCTAGTTGTTCAGAAATCAGAATGAACTATTTGCAATTGATCCATGGACAAGTTTGTGATATATGCATTTTTGTTCAATTAGCAGATTCGACAGTAGATTATGCACGGAAGAAACGGCACAGACTCCATTTATGGCAAGTTTTCTTTGCCAACCCTTATGATTGGTGGGATAATAGGAAGAGTAAACCTCAGCAAAATTATCCAGACATTAAGCACAAGGATACTGTTGAGGTCTGGATCGAACAACAACTCCAATTGTTAGATTATAGATCGAGGGAATGAAGTCCAGAAAACCCATTAGTCGTTGTTGGTTTGTGAGGATGCCCAAGGAATTGAAACTCAGATACAGGTCTCAAGTAGTGAAAATGAGAAGCAAATATACTCTCCGTTCAATTTTTTTCCAGTAACTTGGATTGCTGCAAGTCAAAAACAGATTAATTCAGGGCAATTGAGAGTGATTTGCAGCACAAGAACTTTGGCATTTCATTCCACTTATATACAACCAAAAAACTATACAAGCGGAATACATACAAAAAGAATATTCTGATTCTTCAACCAACCTAATGCCAGGTGGCATAAGAACTTACATTCTTAATTCAAAACCGGAATCAGTGTGAGGAGTGCAAGCACTAAGAATTCTGTTATGATGCTCATTTGTTAGTGATGCAAATTCTCACATTACTCTAACACCCCCTCTCAAGGTAGAGTGTATCTCTAACACTCCAAACTTGTCTCTAAGGAATAAGAGCATTGAATGTGAGAGTGGTTTGGTGAGTAAGTCAATTGTCTGATTTGATGAGGACATATAATTAATTTCCAATTCACCTCTCAAAACTTTATCTCTAATGAAGTGAGCATCAAGCTCTATATGCTTGGTTCGTGCATGATAAATTGGATTTGAGGCTAATGCAATTGCAATTAAGTTATTGCACCAAATTTTAGGGACTGACATCTGAGGTACTTCCAATTCTTTAAGTAAGGACTGGATCCATGTAATTTCAGCTACACTGTGAGCTAGGGCTTGATACCCTGCCTCAGTACTTGACCTTGCTACCACTTGTTGTTTCTTTGAACACTAGGATACTAGGTTGTCTCCAAGGTAATCACAGTAGCCTACAGTAGATCTTCTATCGTCTGGACATGATGCCTAGTCAAAGTCCGTGTATGAAATTATATCAAGGCTGTCATTCTTGTGAATTACAAGTCCATAGTTTAGTGTTTCCTTTAAATATCTGAATACTCTTTTTAGTGCTTTCCAATGAGCATCTGTGGATGTTTGAAAGAATTGGTTCATTCTATTGACTGCATATGTAACATCAGGTCTTGTGTGAGCTAAGTACTTAAAAACTCCGATAGCGCTCCTGTACAAACTTGGATCTCTCATAGGTTGTGATAAGTGTGTTTTTACACACTTATTAGACACTTTTCGGCGCTAATTCTAATTGAAATTGAGTGGATTTCTATTCATAATTGTTA